AGCACCAACCACAGAGGGTTGTGGTGAGGACTAAAGCAGTAATTACAAGAAAAGCACTTAGCCTGCCCCAGAGTCCTGTCAACACTCAGTAAACACTGGCTGGTACACTGTGGCCATTTCACCTCAGTGGTCCCCAGCACCGTGTAATAATCCTCCAGGTTCCACCATGGAGACTCTGACCTGATTGCTCAGAGGTGGCCCAGGGATTAGCATTTTTACAAGTCCCATTCCTCCCTCCCAAACACTGCAGTGCCCCCTAGAAATTCCCGCTTTTCAACTTTCCCATTCCCCTCTCCCACTACCCCAGAAGAGGCACCATCAGTATCATTTGTCAACCCCAATATTCCATTGGGAAAGGCGCTCTTCCCCAATCCTCACTATCTTTAGGAAAATTGTCTTTAGGTTAATGTTCCAGTCTCCAGTCCTCTTTGAGAGAGAGAGAGAGAGAGGGAGAAAGAGTTTTAGGCCATGCATTTAGAACTATCACTGTAGGTTTCTCTCTCTCTCTCTCTTTCTCTCTCTCTCTCTCTCTCTCCTCTCTTTCTCTCTCTCTCCTCTCTCTCTCTCTCTCTTTCTCTCCTCTCTCTCTCCTCTCTTTCTCTCTCTCTCGCTCTCTCTCTCTCACACACACACACACACACACACTCTCACTCACCCACACACATCAGCTCTGAGGAATCAGATTCAAGATTCTGTACTTAATGCTTCCCCAGAGTCTGAGACCATCTACCTTTGGCTGGGGACCTGGAGCATTGTGGAGTCCCAGTGTGAGCTGCAGCCCAGACTAGGCAGCTGGGCAGTGTACACATAAATTTTCTTGGCCCCTGCTTCTTCCAGGGGAAGCTCCTGCCTCCTCTTCGCTCTTGACAGACCCTTTCCACAGCCAAAGCCGCTCCCTGGCACACAGGTGCAGACTTCTCGGCCAGTCCCTCCAGCCGTACCATGTTCTTCTGGTCCCCTGTGATCCCCACGCTCCCCTGCTCAGGACTTTTGCCCTTTCACTTGCCTTGCCTGGCATATGCTCATTTCCAAACACAAGCTGGCCTCTATCTCCTCCTCCTGGACTCTGCTCAAAGGTCACCTTCTTTGCAGAATGTCCCTAGCCTTCGTCTACAGGCCTCCCCACTGTGCCCAATCTCTCTGTACTTTTGCTACTTAGTATGATGTGTAGCTCCTTCATCCTTCGTCTTGTTCTGATGCTGTCATATACTCTCCATGGCTGGAAATCAAGGTAACTGTTACTGCCAAACCTGGTGTCTGGCACATAGCTGGCTCACAAAAGGAATAACTGACTGAATAGAAAATTGATTTTATCCAAGTCAAACTGCTTGAAAGCCAGTCAACCAGGAGGGCAAGGATTTTAGCACTGTGTCCATGAGAACCTTAGAATGTCCATGGGATTTCTGACACAGTGGACATTTTTTCACTAGGTGCATTCTTTTTTGAAAAGACAAACCAGTTTTCATCACATTTTCAAAATGCCCTCCAAAAGGTAAAGAAGGTGGTTCTGAGGACAGTTGCTTGAAACGCAGGAGATTGCTGATGTGTGAGGTCCATTGTTGTCTAGAGCTCCAGGACAGTTACATCTTGGGTGGTTCTAGAGGAGGGCAAAGGACCCCACTAGGATGCCAGCCAGAAGGCCTGGTCAGGCGCTCAGGCAGCTGCTGGATATCTTTGAGTCCCCGTCCCCTCACCTATATGGCACAAGGGTAGAATTGGGATCCTGTGCAGAGCCAGGTGAGCACAGGGACTGAGGCCACCAATAAATATCAGCCCCACTGCCAGCTAGAGGGCAACATGTGAGTAGCACCGTTCATTCTCCATCCCTATAGCACCAGCTTGTGACACACTGATGGGAGGCCAACTTGCTTTTCCCTTGAGTATTAGAACCAACTCCACCTCCTCAGGGTGGTCTTTTCCCCGACATCCCCCACTGGCCAGGTCTTCCTCCCTGCACCCTCCCACAGCATCCTCACCTTCTTCCCAGCCAGGCTGTGCTTCATCAGCTTCAGGCGTGTTTGAAGACTGACAGTCCTTACATGAGTATGCAGGCTCCGTGAGGACAAGAACCCTACCTGGCCTCTGTCCATGGATCCTCAGTACCGACAGCCATCTTTGTTTGTTGAATGAATGACAGCAGAGCCCACCCTGTGGAGACACACAGCTCCCTCCAGGATCTCTGCTGTCAGACCCACCTCCCTTATAAGTCCCGACTGCCAGAGCTGCCTAAGTTGTCAACTGTCATAGTAGAGATGGCTCCTGTATATGCTGAGTATTTCCTTTGTCCTGGGCATCCTCTCAGGAGTCTCATATTTTGGGTCATTTACTCCACTACTGCCCTGGCTTACAGATGAGGCTTGGGAGATGCCGATAAGGATGAAGCTGCTCATAAGACCCTGATCATGAGCACATTCCTTTCCATCTTCATCCACCTGACATCTGCATTATTGCCCTCTGTCCCATCATCCTGAGCCCCAAGTCTGACAAGAGGCAGAGGCAGGAGTTGAACACTGGTCCTTGGGACTCTGAAACACATGCTCTTAACTGCACGAGGTTCTGCATGCAAATGGCTCTAAATCTGAGCGTTCGTACCAAGTGGGACCCTCTCATCCCTCTATGCCCTTCCAAGTCATGCATCAAGGTCAGAGAGTCTACACCCTCCATGTCCTTATGTCACGAGACTCTGTGGCCCTGAGAATCACAGAGGAGAAGAGACAGGATTGGCAGCATCCCCATTCCTGTGCGAAGACATCCAAGAGCTGTGACAACAGTTTATTCCTCTCAACGGTGCCTTTGCTTCTCCAATTTTCTTGATGAAAATAACAAAATTCTGACTGCTTACATAAGACCAGGAAGACTAGAAAAATGTGCTGGGAAGTAACTGATATTCTACAAACATCCCCGAGGGGAGCGTGAACTCTGAGAAAGAACCTCAAATAGTGGAAAGCCAACACCCAGAACAAAGCTTTCAGTGTGGTCCTCTTATAAAACCGGAGTGCATGGGCCAAGACTGGCCCAGGGCTTCTGGGAAATTTCCAAAGGACATGTTGTCTTCTCTTATCTAAGTGGGACCCTGACCTCCCCCTGCAGTGTGGAGGAAGAGCATGAAGTCCGTGACAAATACCTTTCTCTCAGTACACAGAACAGTATAATTGTTGAACCAAGGTCCCCGGGCCTTGTGGTGGAGTGGATGAAGGAGAGGGGTAGGTGGTGAGAGGGTATAGTGGCTCTGCTGGGCCAGGGGTGGTGGGCTGAGCAGGGAGTTTTTTGCTCTGTGTGCAACAGAAAATCCTGAAGATCTTTGAGCATGACTCAGAGTGTCATGGTCCGAGTTATGACTGCCTGAGCAGCTGCTCAGAAAAGAAGCTGTGGGTGGGCAAAGGAAGAAGCTGGGGAACCACTTAGGACCCTTTGCAATAATTCAGCCCTAGTGATGCTGGCTACAGAGGAGTTTCAGAAGTGGTCAGGTTCTGAAAGTGTGCACATGGGCTGGCGGAGTGGCTCAACTGGTAGAGTGCCTGCCTAGCAAGTGTGAGGCCTTGAGTTCAAGCCCCAGTACTGCCAAAAAACAAAACAAAAAAACCCAAAAAACAAATCTCTTTGGACTGGAGGTGTGGCTCAAGTGGTAGAGTGCCTGCTTTGCAAGTAAGCCCTGAGTTCAAACCCCAGTTCCAACAAAACAAAATGTAAGTATGCACAGAATCTCTTGGCAAATGAGTGGTGAGAAACAAGAAAAGAGAAGTCAAAGGTAACTCCCAAAACTGGAACTGGAACATCCAGGTGGACTGTCATAACATTCCCTGAGATGGTAAGGGCAAGAGATGTGAACTGAATTCTCTCTGCTTGTCCCCCAGCTTCAGGGCTCCAAGGAAAGCTTGATACTTTGACTTCAAGATTCTGTTCCCACCTGTAAATCTTATCTAGAAAAAAATGAGATCCATCCATCCGCCCACTCACATACCCATCCATCCATCCATCCATCCACCCACCCAACCAACCCATCATTTGATCATTTGATTTACTGAATCATTTAACAAGCAGTCGTTAGTACCTACTATGTGGCAAACAAAGGAGCACTGTAGCTATGAGGATTAGACCTGCACACTGCCCTCAAGAAACTCACAATTTGGTGAGGATTCAGAGATCAACCATTGAATAATCATCCATGTCCTCCAAAAGCTCCTATGTTGAAGACTTGATGGCCAGTCCAGCAGTGTTCAGAAGTGGGGACTTTGGGAGGTGATTGGATTGAAAGGTCTTTGACCTCATCAATGGATTAGTCTTTTTGTAGTGCCATCATTACTGGATTTCAGGAAGGGGTTTTATTATAAAATAAGTGAGCTCTCTTTGCTTCCTGGCTGCCATGAAGTAAGCAATTCTCCTGTACCTGCCCTTTGCCATGATGGATGGCCTCACCATAGGCTTAAAAGCAACCAGGCCAAGCAAGCAATCATGGACTGAAACCTCTGAACTAGGAGCCAAAATAAACCTTTTCTCCTTTTAATTTTTTTGTTTCAGGTATTTTGTCACAGTGATACAAAGCTGGCTAACACAGCTATTTTAATTTCTGTCAAGTAAGCATGGTATGAGGACTGAGGTTGGTCTTGCCCTTAAGAAAGCTCTAGTCCAATTGGACAGCATAGGGTTAGCCATTCTCATTCTTTTCTTCATTCATTCACTGAAGAGTCACTAACACGCAGCTTGTGCCAGGGTCATCCTATTGGATGACCCAATAGTGGGCTCTGATGGGCGTCTCCAAGCAACTGAGCCTCTCTCTGGAGCTCTGGCCTCCCCTAAGGCTCCACCTACTGGCCATGTGAGCCAGCCCTGGGAGCCCCTGCCAGAGCCCATTGTACCACCTCCCACAGCATGCTGGGGACAGCTCTGGTGTCACCTGCCTACAGAAAATCATGAGCCCATCCATCCAGGTGGCCACCCTTACAGCCAGCTTCCCAGGCCCTATCTACCATTATTAACACCTGCAGGTCCCAGAACTCAAGATGTTCCCACTCTGGAGGTTCTTCCTCCTTCTCGGATTGCTGGCCTTGCCCTTGGCACTGCACAAGCAGCCTTGGCCTCGCCTGGCCATGGCCTACACAAGCAGCAAATCCATCCTGGCAAGAAGTAAGCTCAGCCCAGTACTTGACCTGCTATCCACAGGGGTTAGGGGGAGGGCACAGCCTGGGCCCCACCACTGATGGCTGAGTGACCTTTTGTCAGGCTTATTTCCTAGTTTTGTTTTGTTTTTTCTGACCTCTTGGACCTTTCTTACAGAAAATTGAGAAGGAGTTAACCATACGCCAATTTGTAGCATGTCATTGCCATGGTGCATCATTGCAGGGTTCCTCTTTTTTATTTTATTATCGTCTTCCTCCCCTCTCCTCACTCCCTTACCCTACAGCCTTGGCAGGCTTAATATACGTGTTTAACTCTGCCTGTATCCTTTACAGAAGGTGCTTTGAGTTATGCAAATGTACTGACATATGTCAGTCACTCTTTCTGGTTTTTACTCTCTTTCCACACTATGCTGTTGACATCCACGTTGCTTTGGCTGGTGCAGAGAAGCCCATAAAGTAACTCCACCTGTGTTTAACTGGCCATTTCCCTGGGGTGGGTGCCCAGGTTGCTTCTAACTTTCCACTATTGTAAACCACACAGAGATGAGCACCCTTGCACAGGTCCTTCTTGGGGTACATGGAAGAACTGCTCTGGAGATAGCCAGGAGGAAGATGGCCAGGCTCTAGAGCAGATGTGGGCTCAATTTAACCAGAACTGCCAGACCCGCTCTAGAACGACTGTGAGTCTACACTCAGTCCGCTGATACAAGAGCATATCGGTTTCCCCATTTCCCCACCACGGGAAGGTGTCCATCTGTATCCATCTGCCATGGCTACCATAACAAGATGCCAGAAACAAAGGGGAAGGGCACTTACACAACAAACACTTGCTTTCTCACAGTTCTAAAGGGAGGGAGTCCAAGTTCAAGGTTCTGGCAGTTTCTGCTGAAGCCTCTCTTGCTGCCTTGAGATGGCCCCCTTCTCCACATATCCTCCCATAGCCTCTCTGAGAGAGCAATCTCTGGTGTCTCTTCCTCTTCTTATAAGATCACCAGTCCTGTCAGATTAGGGCTGACTCTGTGACCTCATATGACCTTGTTTACCATCGTGCAGGCCTTGTCTCCAAATACAGTCACACTAGAGGGAGAAGGAGGCCCAACTCCATGTATAATGTCATCTTTCTAATTTTCCATCAGTCTGCTGTGTAGTTGAATGATGTCTTAGTTTGCCTTTGAGCGCCTCAACATAGTTTTGTTAACTATTTTGACTTCTTTGAATTCTCTCTTCTTATCTTTTGTCACTTTTTCTATTTGCTTTTCTAGTTGTTTTTTTTTTTAATCATCTTTGAATTTGAGAAAACATTAGGTGTTCCTATTTGGTGTATATTAAATTGCACATAGTTGTTTCATCATGGCATTTCCACACATGCATAGAATCTCTCACTCCCTCATCCCCTCCTCCTCCTCTCTGCTTCCCCCTTCCACCTCCCTAGTAGTTCCAATTCTACTTCATGACCTTAGGTTTTTTGTTTTGTGTTGTTTTGCTTTCCCAAATGAGAAAAAAAATGTGATGCTTGTCTTTGTGGGACTGACTTGTTTCACTTAACATGATGATCTCCAGTTCCATACATTTTCAGCAAACACCTTAATTTTAATGGCTGAATAATACTCATTTGTATATATACACTGCACTTTATTTATCCACTCATTCATTGATGGGCACCTAGACTAATTCCATAATTTGGCTATTGTGAATGGTGCCATGATAAACACAGGTGTGCAGACATCTCTATAGAAAGCTGACTTTGATTCTTTTGGGTACATGCCCAGAAGCTAGATCATATGATAGCTCTATTTTTAATTTTTTGAGAAATCACCATACTTATTTCCATAGTGTCTGTCTTGATTTACATTCCCATCAGCAGTGAGTAAGAATTCCTTCTCCCCCTGCATCCTCACCTGCATTTGTTTCTACTTGTTTCCTTCACGAGACCCATTCTGAGTGGGATGCACCGGAATCTCAGTGTAATATTGATTTGTATTTCCATGATAGCTATGGATGTTGAACGCTTTTTCATGTATTTATTGGCCATTTGTACTTCTTTTGAGAACTGTCTGTTCAATTCATTTGTGCATTCATTGATTGGATTATTTCTTCTTTTGGTGTTTAATTTTTGAGTTTTTTCATGTATATGGGATAGCTCCCACTCTGCAGGCTGTCTCTTCATTCTGGTAATTGTTTCCTTTGCTGTGCAGAAGTTCTTTAATTTGATACAATCTCATTTGTCAGTTCTTGCTCTTATTTCTTGAGCTATTGGAGTTCTACTCAGAAAGTTCTTGCCTTTACCTCTATCTTGTTTCCCCTATGTTTTCCTCTAGTAGTTTCAGAGTTTCAGATCTTACATTAAGGTCTTTGATCCATTTTGAATTGATTTTTTTCTACAGCATGAAAGACAAGGATCTAGTTTCAGTGTGAATATCATATTTTTCTCCTTAAGCATTATGTCATCTGCAAGCAGTGGCAATTTTATCTTTTCTCTTTTATTTTCTTATGCTCCTTTATATTTCTTGTGCCTTTTTCTTATCTTGCATTATAGCCAAGGCCTTCTATAGGAAAAGAAATGTATCTGTAATTCTCAATTAAACAGGATATTTTCTGTGGGTTTTTGGAATATGCTTTTTATTGCATAAGGCAATTTTGGTTTTTGTTTTGTTCTGCTTTATTGTTTTTTGAGATAGGGACTCAGTATGTAGCCCAGGCTGATCTGGAACTTGCTGTGTTGCCCAGAATAGCTTCAAATTCCAATCCTTCTGTCTCAGCCTGATTTTCCAGGACTGAATCCCATCATAGGCAGGAGGGTCTGGAGCCCAGACAGGCAGGAATTAGCATACTCAAAGCTTTGAAAATTCCTTTCCTTGGGATTTTTAGTCCTTTCTGTTATAAGCTCCACTGGGTCCTGAAATTTACCCCAAGCATGGTGTGGGATGACTTGCATTTATTCTCTACATAGTCAGTCACCTTCTGTCTTCAGCCGACCTTTATTGTGCTCTCCATCCTGCACGTTAGTCCTGCACTCCTGACTCATGCATACAGTGCAGGGCGAGCTTCCACTCAGAGCAGCAATTCGGCACAGCGGTTGTCTGCCAAGCTCTCTGCAGCATTTGCCTTTGTTTCTTGGTCCATCTCCTAAAACGTAATTTCACATATTGAAGAGTGTGGATCTCAGTAGGGGACATGGTGACATGACCAGTCACTCAGCAGGAAGGCAGTGCCCTAGCCTGCATCCCAAGCCACCTACCTCTACCACCCACACCTTGCCACAGCAATGTGCAAGTCACTGTGCCTTTTTCATTTCCAGTCATCGCCCAGGGCCTCCTAAAGCACAAAGCAGAAGACCGAATCCAGAACCTCCACCTTGTGGACAGTCTGAATATCTCAGGGATGGTGGTTCCAGGCATGGTGGGCTGGCTAATTGGTAGCTTGAGCCTCAAGCAGCAGCAAGAGATCAGGTGAGACCCCAAATCCCACCCCTAACCCTGGGGCTCTCCATGGAACTCTGGGTCGAGGGCAAAGCTGGGAAGATGGGATAAAAGGCCTGTGAAACAGGAAGGAAGAGAGACTGAAAGAAGAGAAGGCAGAAGGCTTAGGATGAGAACAGCGGGGCCCAACATGAGAGACCATTTGGGGAGGTGGCAGACCTGGATAATTAACAGTACAGCTCAGGACCAAACCAGTCTGTATTTAAATGCTAGCTCTGCCACCAACATTTGGGGAGATTGTTTGGCTGATCTAGACTCATTTGTAGAATGGGTTTCCAGGGCACACAGGAATAAACATATGGGGTATCAACTGAAGCCAGGCCCACAGACTGGCCCCTGCTGCTTGGTATCTGTGTGCCTCTGAATAAGGCGTTGCAGAGCACTGAGTCCTCACCAGAGAATGGGCAGAGTGACTGTCCCTGCCCAGGAGATGGAGGGAGCTTTTAAAATAATGCAGGGGACCTCTCCGGTGCACATAGTAGACTCGTGGAGCGAGTTTTCTCTCGCTCCTGTTACTACTGAACCTAACTGGGGCTAACTGCAGGTGATGGGAGATGCAGAAAGGACAAAGGATAGTAAGACAGACAAGCAGAAAGCTGGGGTCAGGTGTGCTGGGTGCTCCGATGGAGATCCACAACAACCCCATTGCTTCTTTTCTCTAATAACTCTTTTTTACTTTGCTTCTTTTATCTATTCTTTTTTTTCTCTTTATTGATATACTCATATGTACATACATTGTTTGGGTCATTTCTCCCCCCCTGCCCTGCCCCTCCCTCTTGCTCTATCTTTATTCTTTAAGGCCTACTCCTTTACAATTCTTCTTTAAAACCTTGCTTCTAAAGTCTTCTTTTCTGCTCTTTACAGTCTCTTTCCCTAGACTCACTCTGGCCCATGTTTTCTCTTAGCTTTTCTTTAGCATAATCTCTCTTAAAGTCTCTGCCCTCAGACTTGCAGACAAACAACAGCAGCCGTACCTAAAATCTGCATTAGCGTAACTCTTAAACTCTCAGTCCTCAGACTTGCACTGTCCCCTGTTCTCTTTAATCTCTAGCATGATTCAGCCCACCAGTAGCATTGTTCTTGCAAACAGCCCACCAATCAATCCATCCTCCATCAAAAAACTTCTCGTCCTCCTTCAGCCAGTCTTTTACATCCAGGTGGAGCAGCAGTTCTCTGGGTAAGGGCGTGACATTGTAACAAGAGAAACCTGCCCTTGCTACTTCTCTGAATGTAAACAACTTAGGAAAAGCAGCTGTGCTGCAGCTCACCTTCTTGCTCTCTTCTGAGGCTGGGGCCTTTCCAAACTCAGCCTGTAGATTATTGGGCACAGTTGTGCTTATGCAGGCCTCTCAGAATCTGCTCCCCACAGAATCATAATCCTAGGTAGCTGTGATTTGCCTCACAGACCTGCGCTTGTCCCACTCCCATCCATTACAACTCTGTCCCCTGGGACAGCTGCAGGCACCTCTGCTCCAGGCTGCTCTCCAGAACACTTGCCTCACACTGGAGCTGCCTTCTCACTCTGACTCCAAGCCCTCGTCCCCTCACCTGAATGAGCTATGCCAACAGTCACCAGCAGGGTATTCCTATGGTCTCTGCAGCCACAACCAGCCCCCTTCCTTCATTCCTTTCACAAACATTACAGTTATTCATTGAGCACCTACTGCATACCAGGACTTGGACCAAGAACTGGGAATTCAGCTCCAAACAAAGTCACTGGCTTTTTGGATTTCACATCCTAGTTAGTGAGTAGGCCATAGAAAGTAAATAATTCAGGTGGAGGGACATGGGAGGAACAGAAATTCAGCAAGATGACAGGGAGGGGACTGGTCAGGAGGACCTGTTCAAAGGAGTGGCCCTTGAACAGGAACTTGAATGATGAAAAGAGAGCAAACAACAGAAGGATGTGGGAGAGTCCGCTGGCAGAGGAGTCTGTCAGTGCAAAGGCCCTGAGGTAAAAGAGATTGGTGTGTTTGGAGGAGGGAAAAAGTTCTGTGTGGCTGGCTGAACAGGAGGAAGGTGGTAGGAGATAGGACTGTGGAGGTGGGTGGGGACCAGATGCAGCAGGTCTTGTGGGGTGGGGGGGCATGGTGTACAGTTTAGATTTGATTCCAAGAGCAGTGAGAAACCAGGGGAGAATGGAGACTGTGAGGTCCCCCAGGCTGCCTCATGGAGAACTTGCCTCTGTAGAGAGGCCAAGTTCACATCAGGGAGCCCAGGAAGGAACAGAAGCATCTCAGGAAGAAGTGATGCAACCTAGACCAAGTGAGAGCAACAGGAGTGGACAAACTCAGGATGTAGGGGAGAGACATGGTGAGAAGCCAAAGGCAGCTCCTCTGGTTTGGGCTCCCAGACAGATTGTGGGGCCATCTACCGAGAGGGGAGCCTCAGCCTGAGAGCAGGACTGGGGTCTGGGACTGGATTCTAAGACCAGCCAGCTATGGCTGCACAGATTAACGTGTGTGGCGCTCCTGGGGCACTCCTGCAGCCCATGGTCGGGGACTCCTGTGCCTGCTCAGGCCTCTTTGCAGACAGTCCAGCCTTGTCTTTCCACACCAGACCTTGCCTATTCTGTGGTCCTCACCCTTGAGGGGCCTCTGCTCTCTCCTTGTAGCATCAACATCACCAACGTGCATCTGGACTGTGGTGGGATCCAGATGTCTTGCCATAAGGAGTGGTTCTCAGCAAACATCTCGATTGAATTTGACATTGAATCAAAACTGTGAGTTCTACCAGGCAGCACCTGCCAAGTGCTGTTCTTCTTTGATAGAGATCCGGAAGCTAAGAGCAGATTGGGCTGCCTTGGAAATTTAGATCTTTCTGACCCCAATCTAAATTCAAATCCTAACATCTAAACTCACTTACTAGGTTGCCTTGGGCAAGTCACTTCACCTCTCTGAGCCTTAGTTTCTTCCACTGAAATAGATTTGACAATCATTGGGGGGTGGAGGCATGTCACTTGTTCATTTAGACCTATGTGAGATCATCACCCTAGGTTTGATGAAAGAAAGGGACAGCCACTTTGATAGCCTCCTCACCCTCCATGCTACCTTCCTGTTCTCACTGTCCTGCCACATCTGCTGCCCCAGGACAGAAAGGCACCTAGAGTCGACATACAGGGACAAAGCCCCTTTCTTCTGGCTGCTTCTACCCCCTTCCACTCTTTATCTCTTCCTCTCTCTCACCCCCAGGCCCTTTAATGTGAACACCACCAAGACACATGCGCTCATGGGGCTCGCTGTGGACTTCTGGCTGAAGAAAGACCAGTTTGGCCGGAGGGATCTGGTGATGGGCAGATGCCACATGGAGCCCAGCAGTATGGACACGAGAGCCCTCACTGAGTATGGCCCCTGCTACCCCTCTCCATCAGGTCAAGGCCCCTGCCTGGCATGTCAGCTGCAGCTTCAATTCCCCGCCTCCTCCTGATAAATCCAAAACAAACCTCATCTCTTCCCCAGGACCTGTCTTCCTCTTGTGTCCCCAATGCAGTCATGGCCCTGCTACCCTCTTCTGGCTTTCCCTGCCTCAGACCTCACCTCATTCCATTCTCCACCCCACTGCAGAAGTGACAATGTCACTGCCCACCGCGCCTGCTTCAAAGCCTCCAGAGATTCTCCAACACCCTCAAGATGCAGAGCAGCCTCTGGAATGTCACTCAATCCCCACTTGTCCTCTCCCCTGCCCCGTTCTGCAGGCCCTTACCCTCCAGCCTCTTGGAAGGACCCACACCTCCACAATACATGGTGCATTTTCACACCCCAGTGCCTTTGCACATGCTGATCTGTCTGCCTGGAATGCCCTCCTGACTTCTCTAAAGCATCTCATGAATACATTCATTCACACATTTCCCACGAGTCTCCTGTATGCCAGGCCCCTTGCCTGATGCTAGGGCTGCAAGAGCTTCATGAAGCTCTGTAGACTGAATGACCAACTCAGGCAACCTGAACAGATCAGGAGTCCCTTTAGGGTAAGGTTTGTGCTGTTTCATCTCTGTCATTCCAGAATGCTGAACAGTGAAAACCTCCATGATGTCTTACTCGTCAGATGTTCACTGAATGCCTTGAGTGTGAGACCTCCTCAGGACGGTGTAGGGAAAGAACATGAACTCTGTGCTGCCCTGACACGTTCTTTCTAATAGAATCAGCACTTCCTCACTGTGTGACCTTGGGCAAGTCACAGTTCCCCTTGGACTATGGCTGACAATGCCTCTCAGGGAGGGCCACACGAGGATTAGCATGTAACGTGCACTCAGCACACACCATTTGCCATTAGCACCACGTGGACTGACCTGTCCTATTCAGTTTCCTTCCTCTCTTCCTAGGGCCATCCCATCTAAGATGAAACACTTTCTCTACAACCTCAAGGAGAGCCTAGTGAAAATTCTCCCACACCTGGTAGAAAATCAGGTATGTTTGATAAAAGTATTTGCATCATGGATGTCCTAGAGTTAGCTTCAGGGCGCACACATGGGCAATTTAGCAGAGGATTTCAAACCTCATTCTTTACAACCTGAAAAATCTCAAATGCAGTTTTGTTTTGCCATCAGATTTGTTCTTTTAGGCAAGGGACTTAGTCTCCCTGAGCCTCAGTTTCCCCGTCTGTAGCCTGAGAACTGTTGCAGCTCCTATGTAGCTTTAGTTATTGTGAGGATTCAGGAAAACAAAACATGGACGTGCTGTGTACAGCGCCTAGTCTGTAGCCAGGACTCAGGGTGGAGCCCCTCTTGCCATGGATCCTGCTGAAATTTCAGTGGCATTGATGTCCCCAACCTTGTACTTACCCGTGCTCCTCTCCTGGCCCCTCACCTGACCCTTCTGTCTGTACTGGTGGCCCAGGTGTGCCCTCTGATCAGTGAAATCCTCAGGCAGCTGGATGTGAAGCTGTTGAAAGGCCTCATGGGTAAGTGCTGGGTCCATCCAGGGAGAATGGCAAGTGCTGAAAGAAGGGCCTCACTGGCACCCCTGTGAGGCCAGTTGCAGGGCAGCTGCATATGCTACAAGAACAAATTAGAGGGACTGTATTGTAATAACTGTTACGCTTCCCGAGAGTTAGGACAGTAGAGGGGACCTCTGACAAGCAGCCTGGACCCTGCCATGTCATCACCAAACTAAAGGTTCTAGCTCTCCCAAGAGCCCTGCCCAATCTAGAAGGGATCACTGAGTCCACCCCAAACCAAGACCACCCCTGCTCCAGCAAGTAGTAAAAGGCTGCAGTCCCTGCCCTTATGTTGCTCACCACCTTGTGAGCAGAGGACACGAAGTGGATCGTTAGATGCAGTGTGAGTGCTCCAGGCACCAGATCTTGGAGGATGGATGGAAGAGAGTTCCCTTCGGTGTGGACCCTGGGGGTTAGAAGGGTCACCTTGGGAGTGAGGCTGCCCCTTCTCTTTTCAGAACAGGTGTCTGCTCATGAACTTGACCAACTCTGAATCCAGACAAGCCCATGTACCATGCTCCAGGGTCTTCCAACTGCCTGCTGTTGATCAGGAGACTCCACCTGGGGGGACCTTCAGTCTCACTCAGCTTGGGGCTTCAGGAGCCCCTAGAAACTTGACCCCAAGCCATGTGAACATTCTGTCCTCTCCCACAATAAACGAGTTCTGAAGGGTACACCAGGCCCCTGCTGCCTGGGCCTTGAGAACAAATAGCAGCGAAAGCCCTCTTGGCCTGTCTTTTGCAGCCACCATGACTGTTCTTTACTGCTGGGATGGGCTTGAGATGAGGCTTCCCACACCTTCATTTGCTCACCCATATTTATTGAGCACCTACTATGTGTCAAGACTGTTGCTGGGTTCCCAGAAGGTAAAGAAAAGGTGACAGAGCAGAAATGCACACAGACGAGAGCTCAAATTAGATTCAGCCCAAGGATGAACTTCAGGAGGCTACAGACCCTGGGCAGCATGGTGACTGGTGAGTGCCCAGTCTCACCAGCCTCCAGCACAGGGCCAGCACATGAGGTTAGCTCTGCAAAGGTTTGGGGTGAAACCGTGATGAATCCTGGTGCTAGGACTCACTTGCTTTGTTTAGAGTAAAGCACATTACCTCTTGGTCCTTGTCATCTGCAATGTGGGAATAAAAATCTTGTGGGATGGGGAGCCCCAGGAGCCCCAGCACACGCCGGTGGGAGACAAATCAAGTCACCACTCAGGAAACTGACAGTATCAGCTGAAGGTGATCATTTGTGTATCCATGTCACACAGGTTCACTGCAACATGTGCACACAGCAGAAACACACACACGGGCCCCCAACGGACAGGATGCTTATAGCAGCAATGTTCACAGAGCCCCAAAGTAACGGCTCTCTTAAATCACCATCAAAAGGACAGACAGACCAGGTAAAGACCGCGTGGGAAGGTCACCCGCTGGGGTACCCGATAGTAATGAAAATGACCTTCAACTTCACACAGCCTCATTGATGAATCTCATAAACATAGCTATGCGGAAAAAAAAAAAAACAGACACAAAAAAGCACATGTTGCATCTCCCGTTGATACAAAGCTCAAAATAGCAAAGCTGATTTGTGCCACTAGAGGTCAAGGTAATCGCTACCTTAGGCTGAGGCTTAGACACAGGGAAAGCTTCTAGAGAGCTGGTCATAGTCTTCCCCCTCTCCACGCCCCGCCCCCCCCAGAACTGGAGATTGAATTCAAGGCCTTGGACTTGCTAGGCAAATGCTCTGCTGCTTGAGCCACGCCCCCAGTCCTTTTTACTTTAGTTATTTTTCAGAGAGGATCTCATGCTTTTACACAGGCTGGCCTTGGACCCAATCTTCCCACCTCTGCCTCCCGAGTAGATGGGATTACAGGTGGTATGTACCACCAATGCCCAACCCCACAGTCTGTTTCTGGATCTGGGTGCTGGCTATGGGGAAGGGGGTTCAGCCTGTGAAAACTCTTCAAACTACTCACGTGTGCATTTTTCTTAGGTGTAATATATTTTAACAATTTTAAAATAAATATTTACCACGCAACACACCTGTGAGGAGTACCTGAAATCTGTTTGCATTATACTGACTCCCACCCTCTCCATCAAGAACTGAGAAATCAGGGGAAATATTAGTATTAACGAGTGTTAATATGAATAGCACACACATAATAAGCACTCAGTACGTGCTGAGCTGACATTCAGCATCTCATCAATGACTCACCGCAACTCCATGAGGTACAAAACTGTCACCCCGTTTTGACCATAAGAATGCTGAGACTCAGAGAGTCACTGTCTAAAGTCACACAGTAAGAAAGTGACCAAGTCCACTGCACTCAAGCAGCCAGCCTTCCCTCCCTCCCTCCAACACCCCCTCCCAGCTCCCCAACACACACACATGGTCTCAGGCGAAAATGATGAAATCTGAGTTCAGCTGAGCTGACATGCTCAAACAAGGAAGTGTCAATAGCTCAGAGATGAGAATGGGGCTGGAGAACTTCTTATCTCCATCTTTCAATTCAAGCTCCCTAATCCGAAATGCTTCACCAAGGATGTGCAATTCGAAACGCCCGTGTTCCTGCCCTTTCCACTTGACAGCCTTGAGCTAATGAGCCAAAGAACAAACATGGGAAGGTTGGGCAGGTGGGGGTGCCCGGTCCCTTGCGGAGGCAGCTTTTGTCTGTGTTCCTCCTGATCCCTCCTGGGCCAGCTCAAGGCATCTTCAGGACATCTCCTCAGGTTTCTCAAATTTTGTTTTCATTTTAGGGTTCACAGAACCATACATTCATCACATTTTTCTCCTGGAAGAGCCTATTGAGCAATAATCCTCTCATGATATTGGGGTTTAAGTAGAAATTCAGAACCTTGGTCCAACCCCTGTCACTCGGTGTCATAGGTACTTTCCATGCCCTTCTGTTACAGGGAACTGACTGATCCAGGTATAGAGCTAGGGGCACATTTGTTGCCCCAAATTGTAACACTCCCACCTCCTCTGTTGGGTTCCTCCCCTAAAAGAGATAACACCACTCCCCTTGAGGAGGAACCCAAGCTCAAAGAGGGCATGCATTGAATAAGTTCTGGACGTTGGTGCAAGTGTCTGCTTAACAGTCTGCTAAGGAGTAGATCCTATGTTAAGTGTTTGTAATGTAATTTTTTTTAATTAAAAAAGAAGAGGAGGACAGGGAGGAGGAGAAAAAGGAGTGACACAGTGGGTAACAAGGCCAAGTCAGGTTTGGAACTCAAGAGCCATGTGACATTGCTGCCCATGAGCGCTCCAGAGAACACAGCAGGTGCTTTCTGCACTGAAGGCTGACATGCAAACTTCCCTTGAAGAGCACTGAGGCTGGACAGCCCCAGATGATGGCCTGATTTCAACTTTTCTAAGCTAAGAAACCTCAGGGAGGTCACTGCCCTTCCCGCACCTCAGTTTCCCCAAAGGTTTGGTGCAGATGGCATAAGTTCTAGGGTCAGATTAAAAGTTATTATATTATTATTCACTCTAAATGCAAACGAGAAGATCAACCTCCAAGGAAAGGGAAGCTTGCCTCAAGCAAACTCTAAGAACAATTATTTCATTGTATTTATTTTATTTTATTATGGTGGTACTGGGGTTTGAACTCAGGGTCTCACTCTTGCTAGGAAAGCACTCTATCACTTGAACCACTCTGCCAGCCCAAAATCATAAATTTTAACAGAATAATTAGCACATAGTTTTAATCCCAGCACTCTGGCAGCTGAGGCAAGAGGATTGCAAGTTCTGCCAGAGCTATACAGGGATTTTTTGTCTCAAAAAAAAAAAATATATATATATGCTTATATATAAACATATTTTATTATTTATTTCTATTTTATTTCTATAAATAATGTTTATTTATACATATATTTATATAAATATATACACACATATTTCTCACTCTCTGGAGCCCTCTGAAGTTTGCAAGCCTATCTGAAGACTTCCTCAAACCCAGTCCAACCTGGCCTCACTGACAGAGAGTAGATCTAGCACCCCGTTCCTGAGTTCTGGAGAATCAACTGGCGTAGCTCAGAGTCCCTGGACAGGAGCACGCAAGTCTGCCCTTTAAGAATGGATCCAGTCTCTAGGGACCACTAATGAGACCAATGTTCTTAGTTTCTGCAAAAAGAGAATATGAGGAATTTGCCTTTCTGTGCCTGGTTAAGACACTTTTTGAATGGATCCCTTGGCTCACAAAATCCCACCAGTAAAGTTCCAAACACACTGGCTGTCGGTGAGGAGGGAGGAAGAGATGCCACCTGCAATCTCGGAGGGGTTACAATGGAACTGCATTGATGTCACTGGCATGGGCGACTGTTACGGAAATGTTAGAGTGTGTGCTTCCTTCTGCTCTTCTCTGGGTGCTCTGATGCTCCTTGTGCCTTTTAGGAGCAGCAATTTCAGTGGAAGCAGAAAGAAGGCATTTCCATTTCCAAAGCCTGGGGTTTTGACACAACTATAGACACAACAGATGGGGGCTGCCCGGCAGCATGAATGCACCCCGACTGTTATGAAGGCCACATGAAACCACACCCAGGTTCAAATTCATAGGACTGCTCAGCAAAATTAAGTCACTTTTACTCTGTGTTAATTTGATGTGTGTTTTTAAAGCCTGGGTTTGAGAATTGTAGAGCATAGGCCAGAGGACACACAGGCCTCAACTGTGAAGCAAGGTTTCCTGCCCCCAGGGTGAGACAGACCCTGGGTTGGGTTCGGGGAGTGAGAATCCAAGAGAAATTGAAGAGAACACAATTCCAATCTGCCTCAAAATCAGTGAGCACCCCACCATACAGCATCCCCGCCCAGACAGATGAAGCAGGATGGAGAACAGAGGACAGCTGTGCCCACGTCCACACCCAGAGCCAGGAGCGGTGACCCCAAGGAGAGATGGTGAACTGAAAATCCAGGTGGTCTAGGAAGCTAGATTTGAACTGCCCCCCGCAGTCCTACCTGAAGTCCACGGAACTGACGGACTCCCACCTTGAAATTAAGGGTACCCCGAGATGGGGAGGCCAGATGCAGTTGACTCAACATTGTGGGAACAAAACTTTTCCAATTGGAGAGGAAGGAAAGGAGTTACAAGATGAGACTGAGGTCCCTTTCTGGGCTCCCACTGGCTGCCCAGTGCTCTAAACACATGGTTTGTTCCTTCTGGCCACCAGAGCACGGGCCCCCAACCTCAGCCCCATGCATGAAACCATGAGGTCTTAAATGACTTCCCGTCTCAAGTGTTCCTCTGTTTGACTTGTGGACCAAATCACTTAACTGACTCACCTGCTATTGTGATTGGCAATTATTTACTTTGGAGAGGCATGAAAGACACTACCAGACTGTAGAACTTTGAGTTATCTAGAAACCCATCATCTAATCTCACATTTCCTGATCCCCATGCTATAAAAGAGGTGCCTCCTTGTCAGAAGCAGGAGAGGGGAGAGGAGACCAGGCCAGCCACTGAGACCTTGAGAAGCCCAGGTGAGACCTGCCCCTTCCCACTACTCCCCCACTGCCCTGCATGACAGGAATGCAGGCTCTTTGCCGTGTGTGACAGGGATTCCAGGCTTCTTGCTGTGGGCCGGCTCTGGTAGATGCACTTAGGGTCACTCATTAGCAGGCTTGCCAAAGAAACAGGACTGGACATGGTCAGGGTCAAGGGGATAACCATTCATTCTGCTTTCCGAAGAGACCACCAACACTGATAGAAAAATCTGGGCTGGTGGAGTGGCTCAAGTGGTAAGAGTGCTTGCCTATCAAGTGTGAGGCCCTGAGTTCAAACCCTAGTGCCGTCAAAAAAAAAAAAAGTCAACGTTGATAGAGAAGTGCTGGACACACCCTAAATCGCAATCTCTAAGGCAAGATTTAACTTGCGATTGCCAGCGTGGGTTAACACAATGTCTGTGGCCATGAGAGCTCTGATATTGTGTGATTGCCAGGGTATCTACAAACCATCCTGGCCTGAACCCAGACCAAAGAACCATCCCCATAGTGCAGATGGTGGCAAAGCAGCTCAGTCTTCAGCCACTTTGTCTGAAGATCAGGAATGAGGAGGATCGGGCCTTTAATTATGTCACCACCTGGAGCTGACAGCCACGCAAACAGAGGCCTTACGTCAGACAGGTGTGCTTTCAAATCCCCTTGCCACTGTGTTCTTGTGAGCTCAGAACTTCCCCTGTCACTAGGTCTCTGTGTCCCCACCTACCCAGCACCCATGTCTTAGGATGTGGCAAAGATGAAATTGGTCACCAAGTATAAAGCCTCAGCCCATTGCCTAGCATAGAGAAAAAGCTATTGGTCACCTTCTGGTGGTCTGGTGAAGAGACAAACAACATCCCCACACCCAGGGGTCAGAAGCAGGCAGTTAATAGATTCCTCTGATGTCCCAGTCACAGTGGACTCCTCTTTCTGTCCACAGATACCAAGAGAGATGATATTTCAAATTGGGAGCTTCGTTGTCTTCTGTGGACTGCTGGCACAGACCACAGCCCAGCTTGAAGGCCTGCCCTTGGGCCAGGGCCTACCCTTGCCCCTGGGCCAGGGCCTGCCTTTGCCCCTGGGCCAGGGCCTGCCCTTGATTGGGACTCCAGCCCTGCCCTCCAATCTTGCCGGAAGCTTCACGGGTGGTGAGTCTGTACCAGCCTCTTTCAGATATGTGTGCGCACACATGTGTGTCCAGCCATCCTATAAGAGGAGGGGCAGGGATGTCTGAGAGAGGGTCTGAGGATCTGGAATTGTCAGGATCTGAGCCCCAGGGACCCTTCTACTCATTTGCAGCTCTCAGTAATGGCCTGCTCTCTGGGGGTCTGCTGGGAATTCTGGAAAACCTCCCGCTCTTGGACATCCTCAAGAATGGAGGCAGCAATTCTAGGGGCCTGCTTGGGGGCCTGCTTGGAAAATTGACTTCATCCATCCCTCTCCTGAACAACATCATTGAGTGAGTTTGCCTAAAATACGGCCTGGGTCCCCACCTGCAGTTGAAGTTCTGCCAGCCCAGGCAGCAGCCCCAAAGGAGGGACTAGGGTAGCCTAAGCATGGAGCTGCTGTTACCCATGAGACACCTGACAGCTCGCTGAGCAGGAAGCAACCATGGAAAGCTTGATGCCAGTGAGCTGCCAAAGTCTGGGTTCTGGGTAGGGCTGGATCAAAGCCATTTTCAAGATTCCTACCCTCCCTGGAGCTTGCTCCCTGACCTGGAACAGAGAAACATGAATTTGACCATGTTTGCTGGATGACCTGAGATCAGGTCAGTCTCTCCAGTCTCTCTTTCTGTGAAATGAAGATTCTAGCTCCCATAGAGAAAGATATTGGGAGGACTAGGGAAAGTGTAAACCACCTGGCACTGTGGCTGGCTCACAGAAAGCCTTTTCCACCCTTCCTGCAGTCTCCCTAACTTCCTGATTTTATTTATTTTCGATGGTACTGGGATTTGAACTCAGGGCTTCATACTTGCTAGGCAGGCAATCTACCACTTGAGCCACTCCTCCAGCTCTCCCTGACTTCCTGCTCCTCAATACCTGTGATAAACATTGGGGATTGATGTTCCATTGAAGGCCATGACAGGATGAGGGATTCCTGCCCATAGGTGCCTGTCAGGATTTGCTCCAGTCACCCATACATCATCCATTCATCTGCTGACCAGTCCCTCCATCATCCCTCATCCATCCATCCACCCATCCACCCATCCATCCATCATCCATTCATCCTTTTTTTCATCCAGCCACCCCCTCTTCCATCCGCCCACATGTCCATCTTCCCACCTTCCTGCCAACCCACAAATCAGTCACTTTCTTTGTAAGGCTTTTAGCTGGTGTATACATAAACAACCCACACATAGTCCCTGATGGAATACCTCATAGACTTGAGATGAAGAGAGGGCATGGGTGTCAGGATCTGATACAGGCAGAGGTTAGAAAAGGTGGATATATGGTCCAGAACCCAGGTGGCTCTGGCTTCAAGACTTTTCTGGCTTCCTCATCCCAGGTGGCCAGCTACCATCTGAGATGGGTTAAAGGTAGTTTCTGGGTTTGAGGCTCCAGAAGCTAATGTTTGTCCATCCTATGTGGCTCCCTGGACAGCATCCATATCACTGATCCCCAGCTGCTGGAACTTGGCCTTGTGCAGAGCCCTGATGGTCATCGCCTCTATGTCACTATCCCTCTGGGCTTGAAGCTCAAAGTGAATATGTGAGTAGGCCCTTAGGGGCGGGTGGGAGGACAGCTCACTTAGAGAGACCCTGGTGGCCACAGGCAGACAAAAAGGAGGTGTGGGAGTACAACAGACCTGACCCTCCAGCCTTAGTCCATTTGCTGTTCTGCTGAGTGACTTTAAGTCATGTGGGAAGTTCACTTGAATTCTCTGAGCCCTGGGTTCCCTTACGGGGAGTGAGAGGAGTACAACTGTGAGCAAGATGGAGTGAAGTGAGGATGGCACTCCTGGCAAAGAGAAAAGCTTTGCAATGTGGTGAGGCCGGATGCCAGCAGGGCTGTCTCCTCTGCAGGCCTCTGGTTGGAAGTCTGTTGGAACTGGCTGTGAAGCTGAACATCACTGCAGAGCTCTTAGCCATGAGAGATAATCAGGGGAGGGTCCACCTGGTCCTCGGCGATTGCACCCACTCCCCTGGCAGCCTGAAAATTTTCCTACTCAATGGGTGAGAACAGAGGTCTGGCTTTTCCCAGCAAGAGACAATGGAGTGGGATGATCGATGGATGGATGTATGGATGGATGGATGGATGGATGGATGGAAAGATGGATGGATGGAAAGATGGACAATAGGAGAATGGATAGAAGGGAAGATGGGAGGGTGGATAGGTGGTTTGATAGATGGAAGAATGGATGAGAAATGAATGGTGAGATGGTTACATGGGTAGACAAAAGGATGGATAGATGGATGGATGGATGGATAGATGGGTGGATGGATACATGAATAGATACATGTATGAACAGATGGATAAGTGAACAGATAGGCAGATATTCACTTATACCTTGTTAGGCCAGAATGACCAATTTCATGTTGTATTAGGCATTAAAAAATCTGAGTTTAAGCCCCACCTGTTATATGAGGGCTTCCAGTGTGAACTTGAATAGTGTTTCTCCAATTTGGGTCTCGGCTTACTTATCTGTAATATGGAGCTACAACAAGTTACTGATAGAATCCACCAAGATAATAGGTGTAAAAGTATTTAATCCCAAAATTGGCAAAATACATATGGAACCTAGCTGGGTTGCTGATTTCAGTTACCTGTCATTGGGGAGACTGAGTTGTATATGATAGGCAGGAGTTGCCCACAGGGCTAACATTTACTGAACACATACATCGTGCTTCACAGGTAGCATCTCACTGAATCCTTGTAACAACCGTGTACTAAGCACTGCTCATATGTTGATGATTCTACAGTCTTGTTGAACACCTCCTATGTCCTGGAGCTGTAGGTTTATTCTACTCACCTGTGTATGCACTGCTGTGTAGGACGTAATTCTTTTGACTAGGACCCTTGCTGTTTACCTGCACATGGATGTGAGTGGACAGGCCAAGTTTCAGTTACTGGTCCCTGAAGACTTCTCCAGGTCAACCCTAGGCCTCTGCACCAACCCCATGGCTTTTCTCTTCCAGTGTTGTTCCCCTCCCCATTCAGAGCCTCTTGGACAACCTCACAGGGATCTTGCCTAATCTGGTACAGGGAAAGGTAAGAGAACAGAAGTGGCAGTCCCCTGATCCATAGCTGTTACAGCTTCTCAGCTAAAAAAGAGCCCTGGGGTGAGTTAGCCTGAGAAGTAAATTCCATCCATCAGTCTGTCATTTGCTCTATCTGTCCATAGTCCTTCTTTCCATCCGTCCAAATGTATTGATTGGCTTTGGCTTAGGGCCAGGCCCTGTGCGTCAACACTGCCACTGAAATGAACTGGCCCTGGCCCCGAGGAGTAAACCATCCAGTCCTCTATGACCACAGACAAGCAGTCTTGCAGGCTGTGCTTCAATGCCTCCTATAACAGAAACCCATTCATCCCAGAGCACTCCACAGTCAACTGTGGCTCAGGCAGCAAACTTTACTACCCCCTCCCATGCCTTCAGTGTCCTCTTCTGCCTAATGCATTTGTGTGACTCTTCATCCATGAGATTGCTTAGAGAGAAAAACAATAGAAAATCTCTCCAGAGAATCCACCCCGGGGGGGGGGGGGGGGGGGGGGGGCGCTACTGTCCCCAGGGCCTCCCTGCAGGTGACTCTGCCTAAATCCCCTCTCTGCCCTGGCTCAGGTATGCCCTCTGGTCAATAGGATTCTCAGCCTCTTGGATATCACCCTGGTGCATGATGTTGCTAGTAAGTCCTGCTTCCAAGCCCCCTCTTCCCTCCGCAGGGGCAGCGATTTCCCCAAAGTTTTATCCCTATGCCCCAGAGGACAGCTGAGTCACTCTGGCCTCAACTTTCCCATTTGGGCTTCTTTGTTCTCCTGAATCATCCAGATAATTTTGAGGCAGAGAGCCTGCCTCCTCCTCAGCCTGACATTGAGAACAGTTAGGCTGACTGATGGAAGGAGACCAGGCCCTCTTCCTGCCTGCCTGAGCCCAGCTGGGTCCCCAGAGCTTCCATTCATATCCTCCCCTTCATGAGGAATGCAGGCTCTTCCTGGACTCCTTTACCTCCAGATCCCCACTCTAAGGCTGACTTTTTTATTTTCTAGACATACTGCTTCATGGTCTAGAATTTGTCATCAAGGTGTAGGCCTCCCAGGAGGGGACCCAGCCTCTGCTGAGCTGGTGAGTGTTATTTCCTGTCCCCAGAATTTGGGAACTGACTATTATTCTCCTGAGAGAAGATAGCAGAAATTTTGGGACAGTGACATCTGTGTAGTGATGGAAATATCACTATAATGAAATACCTGAGATAAAGATAAAAGGGTTATTTTGGCTCAAATTTGGAGGCTCCAGCCCATGATCAGTTGGCCTCATTGCTTGGGGGCTATGGTGAGGCAGTACATCACACTAGGAGCACTCACCACATTAACCATGAAGCAACGGAAGAAAGTGGAAGGGGCCAGGGTCCCATGATCCCTCCTAAGGGCACTCTCCAGTGACCTAAAGACCTCCTACTTCTCAAATGCTTCACTTTCCAAACGTCCCACCATGTCCCAACAGCACCACCCTGGAGGCCAAGCCTTTAATAAATCCAAATTATACCAACACACTCCAAAGAGAGAGACAAACACCTACATAGACAAATACAGGGATGCACAGAGAAGTCTACAGAAAAGCTGACAGGGGTGACAGTGGTGCAGAGACATAGGTGCCATGGCAACATAGCTACAAAGAGAAATATACATGATCATGGACGGACACACACACGGACATAATACACATGCATGCACTCTCACACATGTGCACACATATGTAGACTCACCACATGCAAGGCCACATGGGCACAAAAGCATACACCCAAACACGTGCACAGGAGCCCCCTAGCCCCAGACCTGGGCTGCCCTATGGCTGAGATCAGATCCCTAGACCCAGGGTGCCAGCCTCCTCCTGTCCCTCAGAGGGCAGGTTTGCTGATGGCAAATACCGGTAAGAGTCAGTGAACCTCTTAACTGTTCTCTTCTCCCAACAGAACTATTTCTTGCTCCTCAGTCCACTCCCTCCCACCCAGCTGTCCAGGGTTCACAGAAGGTCAACCCGTGTGCAGAAATAACAAGGCTGCCTTCTTCCCAAGAAACCTGCTCCACTCCTTTCCCATCAGACATGAGTAACATCTCACATTCCTCACCAAATAAAATCACTTTTCCTCTGCACTTCCAGCTGTCCTGCTGTTCTTCACCATCACTTGAAGGCTCAGAGGCTGGAAGGAGCCCTGGCCTGGGTGGTCTGGGCCACCACACCAGAGCTTGGATCATACATCATAGACCTGAATAGTCTTGAGCAGCTGGGGAAGGAGGTTCAGGTGTAGAGGAATTTCAGGTGACTGCCCTGCTCTCTTTAGGAAGAGTGCACAAAGGAGGCTGAGAAAGACGTAAGTGCTCCAGGCACAGATATCAACACACAAGTTTGTCACACAGAAGTGAAGCAGCAGGTTGAGAGATACTCTGGAAGTAGCCTGGAAAGGTGCAGCAGGGGAGCAGGGGTGCAGGGGAGGCTCTATCCGTGTCATGGGCTAGGGAGCTGAGGATAACGAGTAACGCAGGAAGATGAATTGACCCAGCAGGAAGAACAGGCCTTAGTTATGGCCTCTTGGCTGTGGAAATGCCTGAGAGGCCCTGAAGGAGACATTAGGGAAGCTGAAGGACACATTGGTCATCTACCACCCATCATCTGCCCACTTGGATCCCTCCTGCTGGGCTCTTTTCTGTTCTCCAAGCAAAAGAATAGAAATGACAAAGAAGAAGGGAAGGAAGAAGGATGCTCTGGTCCAGAGTGGAAACTGCCAGTGGACTTGAGAAAGACAGACATCGAGAAGGAGTTGTGAATAAAATGACTATTGAAAACAGGTACGGTCCTATCACTCCTACAACCCTAGCAAAAAGGGATGGGGGCATAGCTCATTTGCCTAGGAGAGGTCCTAAGTTCAAACCCCAGTACCACCAAATATTATATATATGTAACTATTGAAGAAGGAGGAGAAGTAAGGAAGTTGAGACTGTTTATGCAGATAAGAATTACGAAAAATTGGATACTTATGGTATTTTATTTACCCCAGTTTCATCTCCCATTTTCTAGCTCCCCTGGAAACCTGAAAACCAAAAGCCTAAAATCAGTGGGGGATCCATCAAGCATCCATCAAGGGGGAGAGAAAGGGTTAGAGCAACTTCAAGACCTCATTCCCAAGGTGGGATAAAGGAGAGTGATGGGGGAGGGGGGGTGTGAATTTAACTAAGATATAGTATAAGCACTTTTGTAAATTTCACAATGTACCCCCAGTAAAACAATATGATAATAAAAAGACCTCATTCCCAGAAGAATGACATTATTTTGAACAAGTAGACTAGGCAGTTAGCAGAAATTAGACAATATAGATAGAACAGAAGGGCACTTGAAACCCCTATTATGACCTCCTTGTGACCTTAAAGGGTGGAAAGAAGGAAAAGCATGACCTACCAAAATGAGGACCAGAATGAAAACCCTACAAGAGTTAGGGCACAACCAATCAGAATATTGCAGACACAGCCAAACCGAATGCTGCTTTCTGCACACCTAATTAGCACAGAGATTGAGCAACACTCTGGAGAAAAATGGATAAAAACCTTAGACCATGGTCACTTCTCTGGGAACCCTTTCTTGAAACCCCTCCCTACTCTGGGAGCTCTATTCTCTGCCTTTTTTCCCTCAGTAAACTCTCCTGCTTCACTTGCTCTCATTGTCTGTGATTTTCATTCTTTGAAACTGTAAGACAAAGACCCTGGGCTCAGACAGAGCAGTCTGGTAATAATTTGATCTGACTGCTGTGTCTCTGGAAGGCCCACTCTGAAGCTGGTCTTTACTTGATCCAGGGTTGACAGAGTATGTGCACAGTCTTCTCCCCATGGGCATTTGTGGAAAACAATCTAAGGCAATTGTTTATCGTTGCAGCTGCCTGAGGTAGTGGGAACATTTGAGACAAACACTACACAAACCAAAAAAAAAAAGCTTAAAAGGAAAATCTGGGGACAGGATATGAGTTTCCAGGATATGGCCTTCTTGGGTTTCCAGAAGGCCAGGTGTATCCATGGACATGTTTATGCTTCCGGCTGCTCTGCAGGCTCTGTGCATGTAGGCATTAAGGTTCAGGCATAGGTATGTGAAATAAAAATTATGGAAGCCCATTGTTTTGGACTGAGCTCCTGCAGTAATCCCCAACAGGCCATACCAAACTGTTACCAGAGGAGGTTGAGGGGCTTCCCAGAGTGTCCCATTTTCCGAGCAAAATCACAGGCAGGTCCTTGAGATCCACAGACGTAAAAAGCATTTGAAGGTGCCTCACAACGAGTCTCACAAGGTGAAAGTTTTAGCAAGGATTTATTTTAGTCTAACAGAATAAAGTAGGGAGAAGTGTGGGGAGGGAACATTTCCTGCTCCCCACTAGGAAATGGGAGTAAAGATTCAAAACGGTGGCTCGTATCTGTGGACTTACACTTTCTGAGCTGGGGGAATACAGGTGGTCATGTCTAGCAACCTCTAATCATTAAGACAATGGATCTGGGTTGTTAAAATGGGGGCTAAAACAGAGAGATGTCATCTAAGTCCACCAAAACCAGGAACAATAGGTGACTTTTAGGCCTTCCCTTTGCCAGGCATGCCTTTCATCTTTCTGTCCCTCTACCCATTTAAGGAGCCTTGAAGCTTGTTAACATCTCAAGGAGGAAGGAAGATGCAGACAGCCCCTTTATGTTTCTCTATTCTTGTAAGTTAACCCTAAAAGTAAGTAGGTTTTCAGTTTTTACTTCTTCATTCCAATGTCTGAATCTAGCCCTTTTAGTATTTTTTAAAATAATTTAATTTCCCTGTCTACTCATCTATCTCTTCTGCCTTAAAACCAGAATGGAGTCACTCATGCTTGTGTGAGAATCAACTAAATTGGGTCTTTTTTGTCCAAGAGCTAGCTCAGTTTGTAGAGCATAAGACTCTTAATCTCAAGGCCATGGGTTTGACCCCCTTCCTCTGCCCCCACCAGTATCATACTATGGAATATGTCTGTGTGGAATTGTGTGGATATTAGGTAATTTCCCCAGTTGTCTATGTGTTTAGTAAAGTTTCTGCCTTTAAGCAGAGAATTGTCACTGGATGTCCTAAAACTCAAACTGCTAGTTTTAAGGTAATCATTGTCCAAAGGAATCTCTGCTTCAAGGTCCCCCTGGCCCATGGGTTAATTATACACTTGGTACTGCCATTTCAGGTCAAATAGTCATTCAGGCCTTGGTTTTCCCAGAATCCTAGAATTCCTGCCTTATGCGTCACTTCTTTGCCTTTGAGTACACCAACCAAATTAAGTTTCTGTCCATAATCTCTAACTATGTCTCCTCTTCCCCTATGCCCTCCCCTAAACCTCAACCTTAGTCAATCATGAAGCTTGTGAACCCAAACCCATCCATCAGGGTGAGGGGCAGACTTGCGTGAGAGAGAAAAACTGAGCAGACTTCCTGCTCAGTGTGTGCTGGCTTGCCTGGCTTAGGCCAGAGGCACACACACCCCCTTCTGCAGAAGAAAATTTTGCCTTATCCATCAGCTTTTGAGAATGTGTCTGATTTATGACCATGGCAGCACCACAATATTTCTAACACTTGGGACCACATACTCAAACTGAACTTAAGAATGGGGCAGTTTCCAAAACACAGAAGATTCAGAGCAGCCAATCCTAAGGGCCTACCTGAGTTGCAGAGGAGCTTTCTGTCTTCATCCCACAGGAAAGGAACTTGGAAATGAGCAGTCTGCTTTCTGTTCCCTGCTTCTGACACCAGAGTTTTAGGCCCCAGGCCCAAACTCCCAGGGTTCCAGATGTCAGGTCCGGCCACTTGCCCCAAGACACCAAATAAAGAGACAAGTAATGGTGACAGGCCAAGAAAGGAGATTTATCCTGCAGCTCATGCCCACCATGGGAGAGGCAGAGTAAGCACTCAGCCCATCTTCAGCCACCTTCAGGGTACAGACATGAGCTTTAAGTTTAAATAGACAAAGAATTAGGGCAGTGTTAGACTGAAAGAGGCACAGGGTAGATAAGTGGAATACGGCTTAACGCCAGTACAGGGTTTATTCAGGAAG